GTGGTCGGTTTGTTATCTCTCTTAGGAGCAGCTGCTCCTGATGGTGAAGTTGAAATGCTCTCCTCCCCCAGACTTAGAGAAGCGACCATCTTCTCAATGCTTTTGGCCGAATCAAGCATCTTCGTGTACCCATCTGCATCAACGTTGGAGGTGTTTTGGTCGGATTCAGCTCGGGTCAGGGCTACTTCCAGAGGGTCATCTGCTAGAATCTCCCCGATCATTCCTTCATGGGGTGTTAGAGCTTCGTCCTCATCCACTGCAAAATTCTGACTATCCAGCATTGGTCGTCTGAGCAGTTGAGCCATCTCGAAGTTCATCATAATACCTCCCAGTTGGAGATCGATTCTCCCATTGCGTACATCGATGATCGCACCAACCGTGCACAGGAAAGGTCTCCCCAGAATAAGCGGGTCTTTTGGTTCATCTTCGAGCTCTAGAACAACGAAGTCAGCTGGAACAGTGGTGTTGCCGATTCTAACTTGCAAATCTTCAAGGATACCTACTGGGAGTTTGGCTGATCTATTTGCGAACACCAGTTGTATGCGGGTTCGCTTGAAATCGGTTAGACCTAGACGTTTTGCAACTGAGTAGGGCATGAGGTTTACGCTTGATCCAAGATCACATAGTGAACAAGCGAACACTGATTTTCCAATCTGAACAGAGAGGACAAACTTTCCAGGATCGTCTAACTTTTTGATCGGTCTGTTCAAAAGAACTGCACTGCATTCCTTAGACATTAGCATCACGTCGTTATCTGCGGAAATCTTGCCAGAAACTAACCCCTTCACAAGTGTGCGCATCGAGGGAATCATCTGAATTGCGTCCATAAGGGATAGCTTAACTGTCAAGTCTTCTAGCATCTTTTTGCACTTCGTCTCTTCGCAATCCTTGCGTGATTTCTTTGCAGGAACAGGGTAAGGAACCTTCGGAGTATACACGCGAGTGGGAACAGGCTGTTCTTGTGTTGCAGGAGCGCCTGGTTCCGTGACAGTTGGCTGTTCTGTGTCGTGTTCTTCGTAAGTGTCCTCGAGCACAGGGTGTTCACCCTCTTTCTGCTTCCCTTTTTTCTTTGCAGTGAGTTTCTTAGTGATTGGTCCTGGTAATTGTTTTCCGCTTCTTAACTCAACTGCATTGCAATCCTTGGGATTTTTGTCTGTCTTCCCAGGGAGTGTTCCTTGTTGTCTCTTAACAGCTTCAGCGGTTTGGGCAATCTGAACATCCATCTTCCTTATGTGACTCGCGACAGCATCGTATTTGGAGTTTAATTCCGTGAACATGTTATCCATCTTGGTGTTGATCTCGTTGGTAACCTGGTTCAGAGCCTTTCCTTGAATTTGCTGACCTTGCAAAAGTTGTTGCATCATCCCCTTTAGTTCATCTAGCCTGCGGATTGGTCTGTCGATTCTGATAGTGGTTCTGAGCTTGGCTGAGGACGAACATCTTTCCATTCTGATTCTGTGCAAACGGTTTCTGATATCCGGGGTTCTGAGGCTGGTTTCCTTGAGATCTGTCGTTTGGATTTTCTGAATTAGTCTTGTATGAGAAAAGGTGCAGATTGTTCCTCACATTAGGATTTGGATGGAAGTTCTTGATCTGCCATCCTTGACCATTAACATAGCTGACCTCATGTTGTTCTGCATCAAGTGTTCCTGCTTCAGTTGATGTGTCAGCGGATGTTGGGTTAAGAGAAGCTTCCTCCAGGACGTAGATTTGATTCTGGTTATGTTTGAGCAGTTGGTCCATCTTAGCGGCTATATCATCAATCTTCTTAGTGTCCATTCTGTTCACCTTCTTGGAGCTGTCGATCTCTTCGTTTTTGTTTGACGCACTAGCTGCCATGTTTTCTATTAAGGCGTTCGCTCCTTCAGTAGTTTGAGTCATGAAATCTCCATTACTAGCAGCGTTCAAAGCATTACGGAACTCCCATGCAACCCCATCGTAGAAGATTCCAAGAATGTGGTCATCATCGAAACCGTGATGCGGACAGTCTCGGAGGATGTCGTTGAAACGCTCCCACGCTTCATTAAATGGCTCACTAGAGAGCTGCTTGAAGGACGTGATCTTGTTTCTCAACGCAGCTGTTTTCGCCTTGGTGTAGAAGTGATCTAGAAAGGCTGCTCTGACTTGTTCCCATGAAGTGAGCGAACCTGTTGGCAAAGATTTGAGCCATCTTGAAGCCTTATCTGCTAAAGAGAATGGAAACAACATGCACTTGATGAAATCTGGTGGCACGCCGTTTGCACGAGTGAAACCGCAAATCTCCTCAAACGCTTCAATGTGTTCCATTGGTATTTCAGCTGGTAACCCATGGAACATCTTTCTCTGGACCAAATTGATCATGCCAGGTTTGATTTCGAAGTCCGCTCTTTGGCATGCTGGTGGAGCGATAGCAGAACGCGTTGCAGGAATGTTACGCGGTAGGTTTCCTTCTCCGATCGGAACAGGTTGTTCCACACGTGCTGCCTGTTGAGCAGCTAGTTGTTGTGCAGCCATTGCTTCCTGCATTTGTTGCATCTCTTGACGCATCTGTTGCATGGAGGCTGCTACTTGTTCTGGTGTACCGTAGTCGCCCATGTTGACGTTGTTCGGTCTTTGTTGTTGTTGTTGACGATTTGTTCTTTCTAACCTTGCTAGCTCCTGATTTGAAAGCGTGACTAACTCTCCTTGTGCGTTTCTCCGAGTATGTCTACTGGTCATGCACTTGGTTCATCAGCCTGCAATTAAAAAGGAAAGCAATTTAGAAAATTTAGACTAAATAAATAACCGAAAAATAAAGGTACAAATCTGGTCCCCGTCGCAACGGCGCCAAAACTTGATACACTAAAATTGGATCTTTGTCTACTGTCAAGTTAACAGTGTGGTTGTAATATGTTTAGATTCAATTCCAGAGGACCAGTCTACACTTTATCTTTATATGATCAAAATATAGCTAAAACAATACGGGGGTTTTAAAAAAAAAGAAATAACTTAAAAGGCAAGTAACAAACGAGGTTGTTTTTCAAGAGGTTAAAGACGCTAGTCTAGGGTTTTCTGACGGGAATGGGAGTTCGCAAGCCGAGCTGCTATTCAAGTTCAATATGTGCTAGTCTAAACTCGGATCACTTTGTTTAAATCAACCCACTGTCGTGGTGTTGATTGCCTTTGCAGACCTGCCTTGATACCTAAACTGTCGTTTGGATCAAAACAAGACAGCAAGCCTTAGAGATCAAGTCCGATAAGTTCACAGAACACCCTAGTATCTACTCTCGCTGACTAGGGATGTTAAGCTCATTCAATTCGTATCAGATTATCAATCAACGGTTAGCTAAATAAATTAATCTTGGTTCATGCAACAAGTGATCAATTCGATGCAAGCATTAAGGTAAGAATATGAATGTAGACAATCTTAGGTTAACTTATCTAAGCTCAGCCAACGAAACCAATCCCTAGAACCCTAAACTAACTTGGTGACTACTCAGACATAACACAAGAACAGAGCATGATTTCTGAATAATACTGTATGTAAATTAAATAAGAAATCAAAGGGTTCAGGATGATCTTCTCAAGGAGATAGATGAAGTCGTCTTCCTTACAAGTAGCAATTGCTCAAATCAAAGCTCTCAAGTCTTTCTTGCGTAAAAACTAAGGTAAAAAGCCTAGGAAAATAAAAGAGGAATATATAGTAAGCCACAGGCGGCAGAAGAGAAAAATAGGGAAAACTAGGGCAAATCCCGAGATAGAATCTTTATTTCCTAGATCGTCGGGGAACAGCTTGTCAAACTGTTCCGATCACACGGGAACATCTTGCCAGACTGTTCATATCAAGAAAATCTTCAAAACAAATTCCTTTCTTCTCTTTTCTTTCCACACGATCGTTCTCCTCATCTCTGGAACTCTTCGACCTGTATTGACTTAAAACAACTAGAAAGACTCGATAAAACCATTAAAACCATTAGTAGAGAGTACTTATTCTATGTCAAAAACACAATATATCACTCGGTTTGATTCTTAGAGCATGGAACATCTCCTGAACAATCATAATGTTGTTAGATATCGGTCTCCCAGCAACATATTATTTTGTTCGCTAAATAGAATATCTTGTAACAATTTATAAATTATGCTATGGATGTATGGTTCCTTATATTTTTAAAGTTGTGGTCTCGTATATGTGTGTCGATAATTGTTTTTTTTTTAATTTATCGGAAGCGATGTGCTTATATATCTATTGTTTGAACATCATTTTATGTTGTTTATAATGTTTTAATATTTTTTTACTGCATGTAATACGTTTGTCGATAATCTTCTTAATTTTTGGAAAGCGATGTGCTTTTATTCTCCCTTTAAAAAATATTTCATTTGAAAAGATCAGTACTAATAGTTTCTATTTTATCTTCAAATCAGTTAAGAACACCCTCATCAATGAACATGGGAGGGGAGGGAGTTCACACCTTTAATTTTTTTTTTATCTTTTTTTATTTTTCGTTTGATTTTTTTTAAATAAATAAATAAGCAGACCAATCGCAGGCCACCACTTGGTGTGAGATCTGCGAAACAGTTATGAAACAAGTTCAACTAAAGGCATTAAAACGAATTCACCATTTTCCAATATTATAATATATATTTTTGGGGGGTGTGTGAGAGCTTTCCCCTTAATCCTTCAATGGGGTGCTCTAATAGAGTTGTGTTCTAATTGGCAACTTATTTTCTAGTCCTGAGAACATCTAGAACATCAGCATTGGTGATGAGAGATGCATTTAACCTCTTACCAATAAGTTTTAGTATTACAAACGTATTAACCATAGATGATGTAACACATGTGAATAGAATCTTCTTAGTTTCTCGTATGAGAGATTTCATCAAACATCACCAAAACAAAACCAAATTACAAAGAATTTATTTTATTTCAGGTTATTTAAAACTAGAAGAACCAAATAAAAACTATGCAACAAAACCTTGTTGACCACCTTTTTAAATATGTCAGTACCATCTGGCTCAAACTTGAAGGTAAACACCATATTAATTCAACGAGGAGATAACTCAGTGACTGAAGCATCGTCAAAAGACCCTGGAACAGATTTGCCTGCCCCTGATTGATCTGTATCAAGCGGGTCTTTTTGGGGCCTACTCTCAAGGAAAAACCCTGGTTGTCGAGGCACTGGTAAAGTCACTGTATTACTAGTGAGCATCATTAAAATGGTTCGCATGGTCGGACGCTCTATGTGATCTTCTTGAACACATAAAAGACCAATATGGATGCATCAAATCACTTCACTCTTTTGGCAACTACCTACAATAGCTGGATCCACAATGTCTAACGTTGTTCCGTTAGTCCAAAGCCTCCAAACCTAGAATATCAATCAATAAGTTCTTGTGAAAGTTGCTTATTGCAAGATAGGTAAATATACAACTTAATTGCTATTAAATTAACTTACGTATGTGACCAAGTCATGTGCACCGTCTATCTCGTAGAATTTGCTGTTCTTCTTACCACTTATAATCTCAAGAACTAACACTCCAAAACTATAGACATCTGATTTCATTGAGAAATGGCCATGCATTGCATATTCGGGGGACATGTAACCACTAAAATGCAAACTTTGTTATATTGGCAAAATCATGATCGACAAACTTCACTTATGAGAAGTTAAGACTTACTAGGTACCAACTATTCTGCTTGTGTTCTCCTGGGTTTGGTCAATTCCAAAGAATCTTGCCATTCCAAAATCAGCAATTTTTGGATTCATCTCCGCATCAAGAAGTATGTTACTCACTTTAAGGTCACGGTGTATGATTGTGAGTCGTGAATCTTGATGAAGATATAGAATCCCCCGAGCAATTCCTCCAATGATCGTGTATCGTCGAGTCCAGTTGAGTTGGCTTTGCTTTGCAGGGTCTGTGTGATCCATGAATTTCAGTTAAACCTAAAGATTTGCAACCTCAAGTTCCAAGGTCGGGTAAATCATTGAAACAAAGGCAATAAATTCAACTGACCAAAGAGGAAGCAATCAAGGCTTTTGTTAGGCACATACTCGTAGACCAATATCCTTTCTTCACGATTTAGAGAAAATCCGAGAAGCCTAACTAAGTTTTTGTGTTGAAGTTTAGCAACAACAACAACCTCGTTCTTGAACTCTGTGTCACCTTGTCCTGATGATTTTGATAATCTCTTCACTGCAACTTCAGTCCCATTCGAAAATGTACCCTACATCAGCATAGTCATGTTATCCATAACCTTAGGTGCAATAATTAAACAATCAATAGCAATATATAGTACCTTGTAAACTGCACCGAATCCTCCTCGGCCAATCTTATTATTTTCTGAATAATTATTTGTTGCAGCTTGAATTGTTCTATAATCAAGTTGCAGCGACTCTATAGTTGTTATCTCATCTTCTGCTGCACAAATTAAGTTGTACTAATCAGAAAAAAAGAACGAAAAAATGAATCTTAACTGATGTCTTTACCGTCAAAGTCTCGTGCAGTATCAGAAGTCTTCGGTGCCCTCTTTTCAAGGCAGCAATAACAAGTTCCGAAAAGCAGAAAAATTACTATAATAGGCACAACAATGGCTACGGCTAATACCTTCGAATTCCAGCCTTTCCCTGCGTATCAAAGATCTTTTGCTAAAATCTCTATGAAGGATTAAAAAAAGAGAGGCAATTCTAAAAAAAGAGCCAAATAAGTATTTTTAATAATCCAAAACTAAAAATAAACTTCAGATCATCAACACTAGTCTTTTTAATCCCTTTTAAATTCTTTTTAATGCTTAGAGATATTTTTAGGACGGAAAAAAAACTTGTAATGAGATATGTTTGAAACAAAGACTTATTTTACTATACTCTTTTTTTCTGAAAGTAAGATTTTCTGGAAAAAAAAACTGTTCCATGCAGGTATAATTTTAAAAATCTTATTAAAGTATTTTATTAATTGGTGACAACTAATTGTATATGTTTAAAAAATATTAATCGAGTCAACTGATTAAATCTTATTGGTTAACTGTTATTGGAAATTGCATGCTATAAATAAATAATATAATCAATCACAGTATATTTTTATTATGTATGAAAACTTTAAAAAATCTCTTTTATGAATGGAGGAATATTTAGAGGAATTTCTCTTAAAAGAATATTTGCCAACAGTATTGCTAATCTTGAGAAAGACAAAAAAAACAGAGGAAGGGAGTTCACCAGATGGTGGAGGAGATGAAGTAGCATCGGGCGGAAGCGAGGGTGGCAGTGATTGTGGTGATGGTGTTCTAATGTTGGTTTCCTTGTAGAACGGGTTAACCTCGTACCTTGTATTACAACTAGGCCAGAGAAGTCTTCCTCCGAATTTGTTAAAAGGCATTTCATTGATGGAGTATTGCAGACATCTCAAGCAGTCTCGTCTAGTAAGATCCGGAGTGCACTGAGCCAAGACGTACAAACTCTGGAGTGTGGTAAAGTTGGCCTTTATTGTAAAGAATTTTCTAGAATTGTTCGCCGCTTCGGACGCAGCTTGGTTCATTGTGGACGACACCAATTCTTCAAAACGGTCTGCTTGATTAGATGAAATATTATTGGCGTTCAGCATGATAAGCCCTCCCTCGTATGTAATAATAGAGAAAATATTCTTGTGAGAGTATCTAAGCATACACTCGTCGTAATAGATAACGGCTTCTTTCCCACTCGGACACAGTGTTAACGTTTCGTTTACGGAAAAGGCTACGCAGTTACGACATACTTCCGGAGAGATGTCTCCTCGACAGAGGAAAAGTCCGTAGACCCTGTTGGGGGCTTGTCCTGCCGATGTGTTTTGGAATCCAATGGTGTATGAAGCGTTTCGGGAGGGGAGAGAGGACAAAAGGGTTCTGAGATTAGTTAAGTAAGTACTGTTCCTTGAATATTTTGTCGTATTCGGACAAGACCGGAATAGAAAATTAGGGTTTTGAGCAGAAGCTCCATAGATAGTGAGGAAGGAGAAAAGGAAAAGGAAGATGCAAGAAGCCATGGTTCAAATTACTTTGGTTTCACAGAATGAAAGGTCACATTTGTAGAATAAGGTTTCTTTGACTGTATGATTAAAATTAAAAACAGAGTATGAGGCTTGGCAACGAAACGACTACAAAGTTAAATCTAAGTCAAAGTAAACGCCTCTTTTTTAAGGTATATGATTTGAATTTCTAGATTAGGTTTGTGTTCCTCGACAAATGTGTTACATATTTTAAACATATTTTTATCATACGAGGACGACGCTATAGGTAAAAGACTAAAAGTATAACAGAGTACAGCTAGTGAGTTGAAGACTATTCTCTCCTTTGGTTGTACTTCTGAGGACTGCAGACTTCTTGAGGCTGAGGTAACAAGTGAGGAGATTCGTAGAGCGGTCTTTGCCATGCCAAATAACAAGTCTCCTGTCCCGGATGGCTTCACCAGTGAGTTTTACAAATCTTCTTAGTCGGTGATCTCGCAGGATTTCACAGTTGTAGTTCAGTGAGTTTTTAGATTTGGGTTCTTACCGAATGGAATCAATTCTACAATCTTGGCTCTGATCTCTAAGAAGATTAACTCCTTGGAAATGCGAGACTATCGTCCCATTGCATGTTGCAATGTGATTTACAAGGTGGTGTCGAAGCTGTTAGCAAATAGACTTAAGCAGATTCTTCCAAGGATTATTTCGGAGAATCAGTCTGCATTTGTAAAAGGCAGACTCTTGATGGAAAATGTTCTGTTAGCATCTGAGCTGGTCAAAGATTACCACAAGGACACGGTTTCTCCAAGATGCGTGATGAAGATTGACATTTCTAAGGCCTTCGATTCAGTGCAGTGGACTTTTGTTCTGGAGATTCTATGTGCTTTAGGTTTCTCGGAGAAGTTCGTTCACTGGATTAAATTATGTATCACAAGTCCTTCATTCTCTGTGCAAGTGAATGGGGATCTTGCAGGATATTTTCAGAGCTCAAGAGGCCTTCGTCAGGGATGTTCACTATCGCCTTATCTCTTCGTTCTATGCATGAATGTTTTATCAAGGAAGATAGATAAAGCTTTGTCTGAAGGGAAGTTCAAAATTCACCCTGGCTGTCGTAACCTCTCCCTCACGCATCTATGTTTCGCTGATGACCTTATGGTCTTTGTAGAAGGCTCGAAGAACTCTATTGAAGGTGCTCTCTCGGTTTTTGATGTGTTTGAAAGTTTGTCAGGTCTGAGTATCAGTTTGGAGAAATCAACCATCTTTATGGCAGGAGTCTCGGAAACTGAAAGGAGCAGAATTCTTACAAGTTTTCCTTTTGCTGTGGGTGAGCTTCTGGTTCGCTATTTAGGTCTTCCTCTCATGACTAAAGCCATGAGGAAGCAAGACTATGCGCCTCTTTTGGAACACATCAGAAGGAAAATTGCATCATGGACTTGTAGACATCTTGCTTACGCTGGTAGATTGATGTTAGTCAAATCTTTGGTTATGAGTATCATTAATTTCTGGTCTTCCGGCTTCCGTCTTCCGTCTTCCTAGAGCTTGTATTAAGGAGGTGGAGCAAATCTGCTCTGCTTTTCTTTGGTCAGGCCCTCTTCTGAAGTCAACTGGGGTTAAGGTGGCGTGGTCTGAGATCTGTAGAGTTAAGGAGGAGGGTGGTTTGGGTATAAGAAACCTTCGGGATGTTAATAAGGTTAATGGGCTCAAGCTTGTATGGAGGATGCTCTCAGGAAATTCGCTATGGGGGAGATGGATAAAAGACACTCTGCTGAAGGGTAGAAGTTTCTGGGAGGTCAGTTCAAAAACTCAAATTGGTTCTTGGATGTGGCATAAAATTCTGAAGTTGAGAGATGTGGCTAGATTGTTCTTTAAAAAGAGTTGGGGAATGGAAGGCATACATCGTTTTGGTATGATAAGTGGATGGATAGAGGTGTTCTATATGATATTCTGGGAGCAAGAGGTATAATTCATCTGGGGGTTAGTAAGGATGCCACGGTTGAGGAAGCAATTCTGAATCCTCGGAGAAGGAGAATTCACCGTAGAGGAGAACTCAACGATATTGAAGTTGATTTGTTGAGAATCAAGGATAAGCTTTGTGTTGACAAAGTTGATGCTTGTTTATGGAGAAGAAAGTCGGGATACAAGAATCAGTTTTTGACAAGTGAGACTTGGGGTTTGTTGAGGGAACCAAATCCTAAATGTGTGTGGGCTTGTGGAATCTGGTTTCCTCAAGCTACGCCCAAGTATGCTTTCATTGCTTGGTTATCTGCTCTGAACCGTCTATCGACAATGGATAGAGTAGCCAATTGGTGTGTGGGGGCTGATACAACTTGTGATTTGTGTAAGAATGGCATAGAAACAAGAGACCATCTATTCTTTGCTTGTTCTTAAACTTCACAAGTCTAGGAGAGCTCAGTAAAAGGTATTCTTGGCAACTCCTATACGAATATATGGGCAGAGATAATGAAGATAATTGTCGATAGAGACAGAGATAAACTGAGCCTTTTCTGCATAAGGTACGCTCTTCAGGTAGTGATCTATGCAGTTTGGCGGGAGAGGAATAAACTAAAGCATGGTGATAAGTTGCTACCTATTGAAGTCCTCAAGAAGGTCATTGACAAAGGCATCCGGAACAAATTAAGTCTCATGAGAAGTAAGAACGCAAAGGGGATGGAGAGGATTTTGCAATATTGGTTCCAAACTAGAATGTAATTAGTTTCCTTTTGTAGTTAAGGTTTTTTTTTTTATTTAGCTCCTTGAGCAGCAAGTAAGCACTAGTTTGTATGAAGGCTTTTTGATGAATAAAATTTAACATTCATTCAAAAAATAAAAAATAAAAAAATAATAATAATAAAAGTATAACAGAGTAAATAAATTGATGATATAATAGAGAAATGGTCAATGTCAAAAAAAGAAAAAAAAACAGAGAAATGATCAAGTATTCAAGTCTACTCTGATTTTCCTCAAGCATTGTTGTATGATATCGTTGAGTGTTAATGAATGAAAATCTCACATGGGTAGTTAGAGAAGTAATTAACTAATATATAAAAAGATAAAATCAATCCACTTATAACCAATTATTTTTTAAGTTGGAAATTTAAGATAATTTCAAATTTTCAAATTTTATATAGCTTTTCAGAGCCCAAAATGATCAACCTTGTTGTCACCATGTCCAAAATTTTGTTATTTGTATAGTTTTTTTTAGTTTTGTAACAAATTATGTGGTTTAAAGTTACATAAATGTATTCAAAAGAAATATTTAGTAAAAAAATTAAAATATTCAATTTAAAAATTGATATTTTGGTCTGGAGATCCATAATAATATTGAGCCCGCATGTGAACTAAGCATTGAAGAAACCATGACATGGAAACAAGAGGCACGATATTAGTATTATCATTAGTGCCATTTAGTCTGAAAACAGTGCCTAGGTGCGTGAGACATTAACGAAACTGTTACAAGATTCACCAGATATATTCAATAAAGAAGAACGATTACAAATTTACATGCACATAGAATAACAATGAGTGTAAGATATAGTCTGAGAAAGAAACGTACGGGAACTTGAGCTCTAAACGCCTGAAGAATTACTCAAGAGCCATAATATTGAACATCAAGATTGGTATTTAACAAGGATCTAAATCGCTAATTGTTGCATCGTAACTACCATCTGGCTCAAGCTTGAAGGTAAACACCATATTCAACGAGGAGATAACTCGGTGAACGATGCATCATCGCAAGGCTCTGAAACAGAGTTGCTTAACCTAGATTGATCTGGATCAAGCGGATCTGTCCGGGGTCTACATTGAACGAAAAACCCTGGTTGTCGAGGCACTGGTAAAGTCACAGTATTACTAGTGAGCATCATTAAAATGGTTCTCATGGTCGGACGCTCTATATGATCTTCTTGAACACATAAAAGTCCGATATGGATGCATCGAATCACTTCACTCTTTTGGCAATTATCTATAATAGTTGGATCCACAATGTCTAATGTTGTTCTGTTATTCCAAAGCCTCCAAACCTAGAATATCATCAATCAGTTCTTGGGACAGTTTTATTGCAAGAGAGGTAAATATAATTTGATTGCCATTAAACTTACATATGTTACTAAGTCATGCACACCGTCAATTTCGTAGAATTTGCTGTTCTTCTTACCAGTTACAATCTCAAGAACTAACACTCCAAAGCTATAGACATCTGATTTCATTGAGAAATGGCCATGCATTGCATATTCAGGAGACATGTAACCACTACAATCCACAACAAAACTTTGGTATATTGGCAAAATCATGTTTGACAAACTTCACTTATGAGAATTTAGGACTTACTAGGTACCAACTATTCTGCTTGTGTTCCCCTGTGTTTGGTCAATTTCAAAGATCTTTGCCATACCAAAATCAGCAAGTTTTGGATTCATATCCGCATCTAGTAGTACGTTACTCGCCTTAATGTCACGGTGTATGATTGTGAGTCGTGAATCTTGATGAAGATATAGAATCCCCCGAGCAATCCCTTCAATGACTGTGTATCGTCGAGTCCAGTCAAGTTGGCCTTGCTTTGCAGTATCTGCGTACACACATCCATGAATTTAATGTAATTCTCAAGATTTTAAACCCAGATAAATGAAACAAAGGTAATAAATTCAACTGACCAAAGAGGAAGTAATCAAGGCTTTTGTTGGGCACATACTCGTACACCAATATCCTTTCTTTTCGGTTTAGAGAAAATCCAAGAAGCTTAACCAAGTTTCTGTGCTGAAGCTTTGCAACAACAACAACCTCGTTCATGAATTCTAAGTCACCTTGTTCTGACAATTTTGAAAGTTTCTTCACTGCAACTTCAGTCCCATTTGAAAATGTACCCTATCCGTTTTCATCAACATCATCTTGTAATCCAAAAGTTATATAGAAATTACACAACCTCTAGTGCAGTTAAATAATCAAAAGTAATTATAGTACCTTGTAAACCTCACCAAATCCACCTCGACCAATCTTATTATTTTCTGAATAATTATCTGTTGCGGCTTGAATTGTTCTAAAATCAAGTTGCAACGACTTTATGGTTGTTATCCCATCTCCTGTTGCAAAATGAAAGTCATTATACTAATCAGGACAAAAAGTAACAAAATGTTCTAACCCGATGTAAACCATTTTTAATTACCATCAAAGCCTGGTGCAGTATCATAAATCTTCTTTGCCCTCTTTGCAAGGAAGCAATAACAAGCTCCGAAAAGCAGAGACCCCACTATAATAGGCACAACAATTGCTACGGCTAACACATTCGAATTCCCGCCTTTTCCTGTGTGTCAAGTATCATTTGCTAAAATAAGGATTAAAACAAAATTTGCCAACAATTTTGCTAACCTTGAGAAAGAATAAAAAAACAAAGGAAGGGAGCTTATACCAGATCGTGGAGGAGATGAAGTAGCCGAGGGTGGCATTCCAATGGCGGTTTCTTTGTAGAACAAGTTAAGCTCGTACCTTGTATTACAACTAGGAAAGAGAAGTCTTCCTCCGTATATGTTAAGAGGCATTCCATTGATGGAGGTCCGCAAACAGGTCAAGCAGTCTCGTCTAGTAAGATCAGGAGTGCACTGGGCCAAGACGTACAAAGTCTGGACGGTGGTAAAACTAGCCTTTAGTGTGTAGAACTTTCTAGAATTGTTCGCTGCCTCGGACGCTGCTCGGTTCAGCATGGACGAGACCAGTCCTCGGAAACGGACTTCTTGATTCAACGAAATATTATAACGGTTCATCATGATATGTCCTCCATCAAGTGCAAGGACAGAGAAAATATTCTTGTGTGAGTATCTAAGGATACACTCCTCGTAGTAGATAACGGCTTCATTCCCATCCGGACACCGTGCTAAGATTTGGTTGACGGAATACGCTACGCAGTTACGACAAACTTCTTGCGAGAGGTCTCCCCGGCAAAGGAAAAGTCCATTGACCCTGTCGGCAGCTTGTCCTGCCGTGGCGTTTTGGAATCCGGTGGAGTCTGAAGCGTTTCGGAGGGAGGACATAACGGTTATGCGATTGGTAAAGAAGTAACTGCTGTTCGTTGTCGTATTCGAACAAAACAGGTCTAGGTAATTAGGGTTTTGAGCAGAAGCTCCATAACTAGTGAGGAAGGAGAAAAGGAAAAGGAAGATGCAAGAGGAGCAAGAAGACATGGTTCATCTGGCTTTTGGTTACGTGGCATGAAGCTCACATTTATAAAACATAGTAATAAAGTTTTCTTCACGGCTTTTGACTGTTAATTTGATTTGTGGTGACGACTATGAAGTTAAATATATACAATGTCAAAGTAAAATACCAAGTCAAAGTAAAGCCTTCTTTAGGGTGATACGATTTGAATAGTCTAGACTACGTTAATGTTTCTCGACTGTGACCACGCTATGGGCATGGTTGGCTCAACTTTTGTCTGGATTCTAGAAAGCTGGCTCAATTTTTGTCCAGATGCTAGAATCAATATTTCTTTCTTACCTTTTAAATTGAATTTATTCGATTTTGTTGCTAAATATATTTTAAAAATATTTATTTATTGTTTTGATCATATAAAACTCATTCTCAAAATATAAAAAGATATACATATAATTTTTTAGAGATAGTTTATAACAATTTAAAAAGTTATCTACTAATTCTTTTAAAATGAACATCCCATTTATTGGTATTCAAGATGGAACCGGGTCGCACTCCTTGTCCTCACTCTTATAAGTAGGGCTGTCCTTTAAACTAAACTAGGATAATACCCGCGCCTTGCACATGATGAAGCTATTATTTTATTATGTTTTGAAAAATGAAACAATAGTTCGGTTTCATTCAGATTAGAGGTGTTCAATCCGGATATCGGGTTTCGGTTCGGCTCGATTTTTTGGTATTTCGATTATTAAAATATAACTACTATTCTAAATCTATATGTACTTCAGTTTGATTTGGTTTATATGCCATCGGTTTTCAGTTTATTCAATTTTATACCAAAAACATGATTATTTAGGTTGAGATCATATTATATATTATACAAATATATAATATGATCATATTTAGAGTCATATTGTCACAGAGTCATTTATTAAAAAAATATTATATATTTAAATAAAAAAATAAAAAACAAAAAAGCTTTTATCATCTAATAAAATGATCAAATCTAGAATTAATATCAAAACACTAAATTTTGAAAATAAAAATAAAAAACAAAACAGAAGCATGAAAGAAAAGTTTTTTATATTCTTCCATATTTAGTGTTCATCAAACCAATATGTCTTCGATTGAATACAACTCTGTTTGTTTAAAGATAAAAAAAAGTTATAAAGAATTTCAACTAATTGTTGTCCATCAAATTTATAATCTTTACTTCAATTTAGTTATTGTTAAAAAAGCAAAAGATCAAAATAAGAAGTCTAAGTTGTAATAAATTGTTAGCTATTTACAAATTATAATTATAGTTCAACTCATGTAAAAAATAGATATTCATGCGTCGTTATAAATATACATATTTACATGTTTCAGTTTAATCGGTTATAAATCAAACCATATCCAAATCCTATGGTTTTTATAAAATCACTCCATTTGGTTTGTATGGTATATACCAAAAATAACCATATTATCGATTGTTAATATCTTTTAATATAAAAATAAAAAAGAACTAAGATATTTAAATCATTGATAACAAAAAAATTCAATGTGAAAATTTAATAATTTATAAATGTTCTTGAAAATTTATTGAGGATTTTGAAATTAAAAAATTTATGTAATCTTATATGGTATATAATTTAATA